CTTTGAGGACCGTCGCATCAACTTTAGATTCGATACTGTCCAGGCGTTGGCCTAAATCCTGAAAATCTTGCTTAAGATCAGCCGCCAATTTAGTAGTAGCTCTATCTAATTCGCGTTGCAGTAAATCAGCAAAACGAGCAATCAAAGAGGCCTGGTAAGGAAGGAGGGTAAATCCTCAGGAGAGCAAGTGGTTAATAGGACTTTAACAGTTACAAACATCCACCTAGTTCAGAAGCTTTAACTATTACCATGTTTCATGGTACACCCATATTTAGCGTGTAACATGGAAAAAACGGTCAGAGGCCACAGCCCCTTACAGAATCTGTGGGTTCTTCTGTCTGCCAGCTCCTCTCATATTTGAATTTGGCGGTCTGTACGTGGCTCAACAGAGAGCTTTGATTTGAAACACTACAAGTCCCATCTGTCAGTGTGGTAGGACTGTAGTTCTCAACAGGGAAAAAGTGTGGTGCCCTCACTGTACTTGTAGCCCATTGATACTTCCTCCAGCTCCACATCTGAAGGTTTGTACCTCCGTAAAACACCAGGGGTTGGAGGAATAGTTTGTAGGAGCCAGGACATTGCACCAGAAAGCTTTGCAGACTTCAATGCAAAAAATTTTAAATATACATTTTTTGCTTTTTTCAATATGGGTACATTTATTGTTTTTTTTTTATTTTGCAAAAGGTAGGCAGAATTCTTCCTTAAGGATAAGTTTTAAGAGTTTACCTCACTTACTCCTAGACTCTAAATACTGTCATGCAGTGAAACAGAAGGGGTAGGAAGAGTGAGGGGGAGTCTAAGTGGGTTTAAGAGTGAAATGGCTCTGCAGTTCTGTCTCTCCTATAGCTTTTGTCATTCCACAGCTTTCAGCACACTTTATGCTGATAATATGGGCACACCATATCCTGACTGGCCGCAGTTTCCGGTTATCCGACTCAGATCTGTGGCATTTCTTTACATCATCAATGACGATAGTATGGTGAAATGTAATAAATATAAAAATATTTCCAATTTTTCTGTACTGGCTATAAACCTAGAGATTGAAGCATGTAAACAGCTAGCTGCAGAGTTGCCAACATATAAACAATCCACAAAAATGCAGCCGAAAATAAGTTTGACTATATAGTTTGTAAAAAAGTGTTTTTTTTTTTTTTTTCAGCATTTATCGCACAGCTGAAAGGTTTTTTATTTCTTTTTACATTTAAGCTAGATGCACAACTAAAAATGTATGCAATTGGATCCTGCCTTTAAGTGAGAAGTGCTTTACGTGTTATACAACTCTTTACTGTGTAATGCCAACCTAATTGCACAATGTCACATACTACATGTTATGTTATAATTCGCAAAAGATTACAAGCCTGAAAGATGTGAACCCTTACTTTATAAAACAACTTTTAGTTTAAAATAGAAAAGAAAAATGTTTGTATATAATAAGTGTGTATGTATGTGTGTATATGTATATATATATATATATATATATATATATATATATATATGTATATATGTATGTATGTATATATATGTGTGTGTATATGTGTGTGTGTGTGTGTATATATATATATATATATATATATATATATATATATATGTGTGTGTGATATATATACATACACAAACACACACACTATATACTGCATGTAGCCAGGTGCCAGCTATGTCATTATGCTACTCAGGGACATTTACTGATGAAGCTAAGGTTATTCCTTTTGCCCCTAGTGCCCGTACTGTGACTGCTACATCACTTCCTGTTAGCAGAGTGGATCCAATTCTTCTGACAGCAGAGGATCTTGGGATCTGTAGTTCTATAACCAATACATACTGTATTCCTGAGTGCTGAGTTCCTGGCTCTCTCTGGGTGCAGGATTCAGAGCTGAAGTTTCACTCACATCAGCTTCACTCAGACATCTCTGATTGCCACGTTGATATGCCATCAGGCAGTAACTGCACATTCCTACCAAGAGCCTGAGTAAGAACTCTGTTTCTAGAAGGCTGTGCTATCCATGGGATTGGTGAGTGGGCAGATGCCCAACCTTATTCTGTCATCATTCTAGAGACACTGCACACAGACACTTTACACCTCAGTTACCAGATCTTTGCTTTGAGCAGTGCCACGGCTTATCAGTTTAACTTTATTGAATTTACCTATATTCACGAATGCTTCTGGGCCCCCACCATTGCTAGCAGAAGACAGCAGACACCACTATTCAGGAACTTTAAACATCGCAGGACTAAGTTGCAGTCTCTAGTTAAAGGGACATTTTCTTTTCTAAGACCATTGTTATTCATGTTAGGGTACTTATGTCTATTTAAGCCAGATTATACATTTACATAATTCCCTGCATGCCCCATTGTGGTGCCTGTGGCACAGAGGTAGCTGATAAGTCAACAAGCCTTTTCTTCCCCTTCTTATTGCTGATGTTGCAAATAAATAGTTGAAGCTTACTACTCATGACTTTATAATCTCTTAAACGTTGCTAATTGATTATTCCTATTTTACCAATGTATTGCTTTTATGTGTTAACTGGGGTTGTATATCCTAAACCCATTATTCCTGTAGTTTACTCTTTTGAACAAGTCTAATATAGAGGTGTTACTAAAGAATTGTGCCTCTTGCATTATTATTCTATACTGTTGAAATACAGTTTGTCTGAACATAGGAGGGAGGCTTGCAAGGTCAGGGCAAGTACTGGGGGCAAGCATTCTCAAACGGCCCCTGGTGGGGTAGCGCTATATATATATTATATATATATATATATATATATATATATATATATATTTTTTTTTTTTTTTTCTTTTTTTTTTTTCTTTTGGTCTATCTAATCGCATAATCTCTGTTCTCAGCTGCATAAGGGGCTTATAGATCAGCAGTACACTGATCTTCCCAGTGAATGGCTGTGCGGGGGGGGGGGGTGACAATTGGAGGACAGACAGGGTGTTCTACCAGCACAGCCAGGAGCAATACATAAAGAACAGAATACTCTGTAGTGTTACTACCACTTTCTCTCTCCATTATCTTATGAATTTACTTAGCATAAAAATCAAATAATGCAGCAAAGCAGCATTTAAATTTATTATAAAAGGAAGCATTTATTTTTCATTTGATTTCAACTTGCTGCTGTTTTCTATTTCAAACACAACCTAAACTGTCCTTTCTGTTCACAATCCCACATGTGCTAAATAATTCTTGTTGTCTAGGTGAGAACACGGGGGTGAGAAGCAGCATGTGACATGTCTAATCTTCATGGAAACAGCAAGCCACATAGAAAGGATTTTGAACCGCAACACATTCGTACTTGGGTGTGATGAATGGTAATACATTTCTATGGAAAGACTTCAAATGTATTAATATACAATGGGTGAAATATATATATATATATATATATATATATATATATATATACACACACACACATACATGCATGCACATACACTATATACCCTGAAAATGGGTGGAATATGTAACATGTTCCCAAAGGTGAACTTATCCTTTCACCCCTTGATGCCGACATCAGACAAATATGTGGCCTCACGGAACTGGGCTTTTTTACGTGGGGCCGCATATTTGCAGACCTGTCTTTGTGCTGGGAGTGTGCCGCACTGCGCGCTCCCAGCACAAAGACTGTGGTTTCACTGAGAGCCCGGGTCCCATTAACGATCGGGGACCCGGGACTCCCGATTCCGGGTCACATGATCGCTGTGGCAACCTCTGATTGGCTATCACAGTGATCAGTCACTGTGCAGCCCGGCCCCCCATGTTTTTTTCTCTCTCTATGACTGGAGGAGAGAGATACATTGTATCTCTCTAACTCCTGGCATAGAGAGAAAAAAAAATGTTTGTAAAAAAAATAAAATAAAAAGATAAAATAAAAAAATAAAGAAAAAATACTTAGATCAAGGTTTGATTTAGTTCAGTGCCAGGGTTATTGTTTGGGTCAAGGTCAGGATTTAAAAAAAAAAAATTGGTATCTGTGTCAGTGTGTTTCAGGTAAAAAAACAAAACAAAATGCGCACTATTGTTTCTGGGCTGTGCTGCGGGTACAAACAACAAATAACATACACATATCGCTGCGATGCCAAGAGCTGGAGAATTTATTTTGGGATGTTCTTTGGTGGTAGGTTATGGTAGTAACAAGAAACACACAGCTAAATAAAAAAAAAGATTTTTTTTTTTTACTATTTTGGGCCAGTTTTCCTTTGATAATAAAAAAACATTTTTTTTTTATTTAGATGTGTTTCTTGTTACTACCATAACCTACCACCAAAGAACAACCCAAAATAAATTCTCCAGCTCTTGGCAATCGCAGCGATACCATATATGTGTATGTTATTTGTTGTTTGTACCCGTAGTACCATTTACCACCAAATGAAAGCCCAATTTGTCCTGAAAAAAAACACGGTATAATTCACCTGGATGTACAAAGTAGTTGTGATGATATGTACGGTTTTACTAACACATGTCAACGTTGCAAAATTGTGCTTAGGCATTTAGATTTGTTTTACCCTTAGTCATGAAGGGGTTAAGAGTGTGTCTATGGGAATGTTTGACCATTCTGCCAGAAGCACATTTGTGAGGTCAGTCTCCATTCTAATTCATTCCAAAGGTGTTCTATCGGGTTGAGGTCAGGACTCTGTGCAGACCAATTAAGTTCCTTCCCCCTTAAACTCGTTCATCCATGTTTTTGTAGACCTTGCTTTGTGCACTGGTGTGCAGACATGTTGGAACAGGAAGGGGCCATCCCCAAACTGTTCCCACAAATTTGGGAGCATGAAATTGTCCAAAATATTTTGGTATGCTGATGCCTTAAGAGTTCCCTTCACTGGAACTAAGGGGCCAAGATCAACCTCTGAAAAACAACCCCACACCATATTCCCCCTCCACTAAACTTTACACAGTCAGGCAAGTACCGTTTTCCTGGCAACTGCCAAACCCAGACACATCCATTGGCTTGCGAGACAAAGAAGTGTGATTTGTCCCTCTAGAGAACGCGTCTCTACTGCTCTAGAGTCCAGTGGCGGCGTGCTTTACACCACTGCATCCGACGCTTTGCATTGCACTTGGTGATGTAAGGCTTGGATGCTGCTGTTTGGCCATGGAAACCCATTCCATGAAGCTCTCTATGCACTGTTGTTGTGCTAATCTGAAGGCCACATGAAGTTTGGAGGTCTTTAGCTATTGACTTTGCAGAGAGTTGGCGACTTCTGCACGCTGTGCTCTTCAGCATGCGCTGACCCCGCTCTGTCATTTTACATGGCCTACCACTTAATGGCTGAGTTGCTGTTCTTCCCAGTTGCTTCCACTTTGTTGTAATACCACTAACAGTTGACCGTGGAATATTTAGTAGTAAGTACATTTCATGGACGGACTTATTGCACAGGTGGCAACCTATCACAGTACCACGCTTGAATTCACTGAGCTCCTGAGATTGACCCATTCTTTCACAAATGTTTGTAGAAGCAGTCTGCATACCTACTGTAGGTGCTTGATTTTTTACACCTGTGGCTATGGAGGTGATTGGAACACCTGAATCCTATGATTTGAAGGGGTGTCCCAATACTTGGCAATACACTGTGTTCCAAATTATTATGCAAATGATAGTTTTCTCATTTACCTAAATAATTGATGTAAATAACAGTCAGCATAATTCTCATGTTATCAACTATTAAGCGTACAATTCAAATTTTATTGAACAAACCTCCTAATGATAACAGTATTTTTTTTAAACATAAAAAACTTACAATGCACTGTTCCAAATTATTACGCACAGTAAGTTTCAAAACACTTTATAGGTTGTAAAGAACTGAAAATTGTCATTTGTTGTGTTTTCAGCATATTTACTGAAATCAAAAGCAATTTCAATCAAACTTTTAACAACATTTTAACTTTTTAAACATTTTAACAGGTCACGTTACATTGTAACATAGGACCCCTTATTTGATAGCAGCTTCACAAGTCTTGCATCCATTGAACTTGTGAGTTTTTGGACAGTTTTCTGCTTGAATTTGTTTGCAAGATGTCAGAATAGCCTCCCAGAGCTGCTGTTTGGATGTAAACTGCCTCCCACCCTCATAGATCTTTTACTTGAGAATGCTCCAAAGGTTCTCAATAGGATTGAGGTCAGGGGAGGATGGAGGCCACACCATGACTTTCTCTCCTTTTATCCCCATAACAGCCATTGATGCAGAGGTATTATTTGCAGCATGAGAGTGCATTGTCATGCATGAAGATGATTTTATTACGGAAAGCATAGTTCTTCCTTCTGTACCAGGGAAGAAAGTGGTTAGTCATAAACTCCACATACTTTGCAGAGGTCATCTTTACACCTTCGGGGCCCCTAAAGGTGCTGACCAGCTCTGTTCCCATGATTTCAGCCCAAAACATGACTCCACCACCGCCTTGCTGATGTCGCAGCCTTGTTGGAACAGGGTGGCCATCCACCAACCATCCACTATTCTATCCATCTGGACCATCCAGTGTTGCACGGCACTCATCAGTGAACAGGACTGTTTGAAAATTAGTCTTCATGTATTTTTCTGCCCACTGCAGCCATTTCTGCTTGTGAGCATTGGTTATTGCTGAATAGAAGGTTTATGCACAGTTGCAAAACTCTGGAGGACTCTACACCTTGATATCCGTGGGACCCCAGAGGCACCAGCAGCTTCAAAAATCTGTTTGCTGCTATGTAATGGTATTTTAGCAGCTGCTCTCTTGATCCGATGCATGGACCTGGCAGAAATCTTCCTCAATGTGCCTTTATCTGCACGAACCCGTCTGTGCTCTGAATCAGCCACAAATCTCTTAATAGTGCGATGATCACGCTTAAGTTTTCGTGAAATATCTAATGTTTTCATACCTCATCCAAGGCATTGAACTATTTCACTCTTTTCGGCAGCAGAGAGATCCTTTTTCTTCCCCATATTGCTTGAAAATGTTGCTCTTCTCAATAATGTGGAACACCGTCCTTTAGTAGTTTTTCCTTAAATTGGGCTCACCGGCCAATCTAATTACCACAGGTGTCCGAGATTGTTTTCAGTGATCAAAAGAGCCCTGAGACACAATGCCATCCATGAGTTAAACTGAAAAACAAAATATTTAATCTTTGTTACACTTAAATAGAATTTGCATAATAATTTGGAACACGGTGTATAGCGTGTATATGTATGTGTGTGTATATATGTGTGTATGTATGTATATATATAGAATTTAATGAAAAGAACCTCTGTCCAACTGTTAAGCATGGGGTTGGATCAATCATGCTTTGGGGTCGTGTTGCAGCCAGTGGCACAGGGAACATCTCACGAGTAGAAGGAAAAATGGATTCAATAAAATTTCAGCAAATTTTGGATGGTAACTTGATGCCATCTGTGAAAAAGCTGAAGTTAAAGAGAGGATGGCTTCTACAAATGGATAATGATCCTAAACACACCTCGAAATCCACGGGGGATTGCATCAAGAGGCGTAAACTGAAGGTTTTGCCATGGCCTTCACAATCTCCTGACCTCAACATAATTGAAAATCTATGGATAGACCTTAAAAGAGCAGTGCGTGACAGACAGGCCAGAAATCTCAAAGAACTGGAAGACTTTTGTAAGGAAGAATGGGCAAAGATACCTCAAACAAGAATTGAAAGACTCTTGGCTGGCTACAAAAAGCGTTTACAAGCTGTGATACTTGCCAAAGGGGGCAGTACAAGATATTAACTCTGCAGGGTGCCCAAACTTTTGCAGATGCCATTTTTTTATTTTCTGTTATTTTGAAAGTGTAAATGATGGAAATAAAATCTAACTTTTGTTGACATATTATAAGAATGTCTAATCTGTAATTTGATGCCTTTTGGAGATTTTTCCATCTTTCCTTGGCTTCTTTATGCACATTAATACAAATTTTTAGCTGGGGTGCCCAAACTTTCGATCCCCACTGTATATATATGTGTATATATATATATAACATTCGCTACAATGTCGCATGCATTTAAATATGTGACAGCTCTAGTAGAAAGTCAACCATGTAGTAAAGGCTGCAATGGAAAAACACAGGTTCATACAGTAACCCAATGATAACTTTCAGTGCCAAGAGAACTGATTGCAGTTGCATCAAACAGAGGATTAATTAACCACTTGCCCTCCAGAGGATTTACCCCCCCTTCCTGACCAGGCCATTTTTTTGCAATACTGTGCTGCATTACTTTAACTGACAGTTGCAAATTGTCATGCAACGCTGTACATAAATGAAATTTATGTCCTTTTTTTCCCCATAAATAGAGTTTTCTTTTGGTAGTATTTGATCACATCTGCATTTATTTTTTGCGCTATAAGCAAAAGAAGACTGACAATTTTGAAAAAAAAAAAACAATATTTTTGACTTTTTGCTATAAAAACATATCCAATTAAAAAATTTAGAAAATCAAATTTCATCATAAATTTAGGCCAAAATGTATTCTGCTCCATGTCTTTTGCTAAAAAAAATCCCAATACTGTATAGCTGGAAACTCATGTGTAGAATTTTCTCCATTAGATTGTTACTTAAGCTTATAAGGTTGTCCATGTTGCTTGTCTTTTTCTCAGGAACAAAGAAAATGGGAAAATAAACTTAGTGTTACTAAGCCCAGGATCCTGCATTCACTATATCTGGTCTCCCACAGTACACAGAACAAAGAAATACAATTAATTTAGTAAATATAAACTGCTCAATACATTTTCCCACCAGCAGTTAGAGCAGTCTTGTGACTTCTATCCGGGTTCAGCAGAGCACATATTAAAGCTTGTAGGAGGAGTTTTAATTCTGCTCTAGGAGGATGCAGAACCCCTGACCTCTGTCTGGACAGTGCTGATTGTCCCTGTGCTTATCACATGCACTCTCCCAAAAAAAGAAAAACATTTTCTAGCAATACACACCAAACTGAGCATGTGCAGAGGGACTTCACACAATGTCTTATCAGGAGATACACTGGATATGTGTTAGCAAAAGATAAGAGGGGGAGGATCAGAGAAGTCAGGGTCAAACAGCGCTTTTACACAATGCAGAGGATTAACCCCTTAGGTTCCACAGTGAGTATAACAAGCATGCTTTACTGCATATACAGACCGATTTTACTGTTGTGGGTTTAGTAACACTTTAACCTTATTTACTCTGCTAGGTGAACATTCAATTAGTAAAGCACAAAGTCTCTATTCTTTTAGCAAAATCAGCTAATCCCAGTGTAAGATTTGCAATGATCTTATGACAAATTGTTTTTCATTTCTATACTATGCCCTTTATTTAGTAATTGTGAGAAATTTACAATCACAAGTGTACATTTTCTCTTATATGTGTAGAATTTGCACTAGCAGTTGCATAGAAAATAAATTGTGCAGAAACCAGTCTTTATATTGTATTTGGGTATTTGAGACAGGTGAGGGTATGACAGATGTTTATGAAAAAATGCACTGGGCATACACTCTTAAATTTATATGAAGACATAAAAGTGATTTTCATTTCAGGCTTTTCTCCTCTGCTCTTTAAATGTCTCATAGTCATCCGGTATTGTATCTGTAAAAAAAAAAAAAAAAATTTGTAAAGCTTCATCAACCATTAGAAAACCATGCAAACATAGATAATGGGGTAGGCATAATTTAAACTAGAATTTGCATAAAGCTTATTTCTCAATCTATGAACAAATTTCTTGCTCGGACATTGTCAAATTGATAGGTTAGTTTATGATCAGCAGAGAAAAGTGTCAAATGAAGGATGTAGGAAACGGACAACATTTCTCCAAATATATAGAAAGTTCAGCACTAAAATAAGTGAATGATATTATAGTGAAAATAAAATGCAAAGTCAATCTGACATATAGCAAAGAAAAAAAAAATGAATCAGCGGAACAGTCAAGTGCAGCATATAAAAATCATATATAAAAAATGTTCAATAAATGTGAAACAGTAAAGTGCAGCATAAACGTGAGAATATATAAAGTCCTAAAATATCAGTGGAGTAAGAGCTATAAATTGTCTGTAAGGATATAAGTATGGCAATCACAGTGAAATATTGTGAAGTGATCCAATAGGGAATCGGGGAATTTCTCCAAATACTGAACAGTGTTATCTGCATACAATATCACATTCTACCTATTTGTAAGTAGATTTCCCTGATTCTGGTGAACCTGTAGAATAAAGATCTAAAGTGCAAGCAAGACTTCTACTTTGCACTTCAAGACTCCTGGTCTCCTGCTTTTTACTCCTTAACATCTACTTGGTATGTTTGCCAAGGGTGATTGCAGTGAATCACATTGAGTGGAGATTCAAGAATCTTGAAATTGCACCTTTCTTTAGACTGGCAGACCTGAAAGCTAAGGATGCTTAGTGGACAGCCAGGGAATTAGTATTTTCAGAAGGGGAGGCCAAAAGAGTCAGCCTTCATACTTTCATCTGAAGGTTCTACACCAGGGGTGGGCAAACTTTTTGACTTGAGGGCCGCAATGGGTTCATATTTTGGACCCGGGGGCCTCCGGACCAAGAGTAGATGAATGATGTGTATGTGTCATCCATAGTAAGTATAGTAATATCCCCCCATAGTAAGCATAATAATTAATCCCCCCATATAGTAATTCATCCCCCATATAGTAATTCATCCCCCATATAGTAATTCATCCCCCATATAGTAATTCATCCCCCTATAGTAATTCATCCCCCCTATAGTAATTCATCCCCCCTATAGTAATTCATCCCCCCTATAGTAATTCATCCCCCCTATAGTAATTCATCCCCCCTATAGTAATTCATCCCCCATATAGTAATTCATCCCCCCTATAGTAATTCATCCCCCCTATAGTAATTCATCCCCCCTATAGTAATTCATCCCCCCTATAGTAATTCATCCCCCTATAGTAATTCATCCCCCCTATAGTAATTCATCCCCCCTATAGTAATTCATCCCCCGTAATTCATCCCCCGTATAGTAATTCATCCCCCGTATAGTAATTCATCCCCCGTATAGTAATTCATCCCCCCTATAGTAATTCATCCCCCCTATAGTAATTCATCCCCCCTATAGTAATTCATCCCCCCTATAGTAATTCATCCCCCTATAGTAATTAATTCCCCATATTAATTCATCCCCCATATTAAGTCCCCAAGTCCCCCCTGTGTCAATTCACTTACCTTTGCTCCGCGCGGTCCTCTCGCCGTGTTCCCGCGCCGTTCCGGTGTAGCATGAAAATCTGTCTCCTATGAGGATCTGTCCCCGTTGACGTATCTGCGCATGTGCCAGTTTCAGGCATTAGCAGCCGATCGGCGATCTCCGGCACATGCGCAGATACGTCGAGGGGGACAGATCCTCATAGGAGACAGATTTTCATGCTACACCGGTCTTCAGGGCGGACTGTGAGAGGAGCCTAGCGGGAGCCTAGCTCCGCGGGCCGGATTAAAAGGTCCGCCGGGCTGTATACGGCCCGCGGGCCGTAGTTTGCCCATTGCTGTTCTACACATTACTTAGTGGTTTTTCAAACATGGTATAACTGACAAGCCAGTGTCTTCCTGTGAAGGTGTGTACATCTTTTCACAATGATTCAAAATAATGGCCTGAGCTTTTTAAATCATTATCTCCTATCCAAAAATATCAAACTTACCATTACAACGATATCGAAGGTTGGACCAAATTATATTCTCTTGAGAGAAACAGAAGACTCCAAGACGTCCTCCTCTCATTGTGGTGTCAATTATGACCCCAGAGTCTGCTACCAGCTCAGGGCCCTCAAAAAACTTGACTCTGAAAAACAAAAACTCACATATACATAACAGGAACAAAAAACTTGCATAGCACTCCTAGATTGTAATCTCCAAGGAGCAGGGCCCTCCTATCCCTCTTGTATTGAACTGTCTTGTCTCCCGTTATATTGTAAAGCGCTGAGCAAACTGTTGGCACTATATAAATCCTGTATAATAATAAATAATAATAGCACAATTATCAAGAACGGAAAACTCACCAAGGCTAACCAACATGGAATTCATATGCATTTAATTACGGCAGTGCAGAGTGTTGATGACAGGCAAAGTGCAGTAACCCACAGTGACATGGTGTGAGAACAGCGATAGAATATTTATATTAGAAGGGCTGCTGTATGTTATTGCACTTTGTCTTTTGCATTACTGAAAAACTTAATTAAACATGAAGGTTTGTGAATTCAAAAATGTATTGCTAACTGTGCACTGGGATATTATGTACTTGTGTTGTACATGTTGTATTAGCCTAATCATTTAGAATATTTAAATGCTGAATGCAGATAATGGATAGCTAAAGAATCAAAAGCTGTTGATAACTAGAACATTGGCAAAGGCTCTCTATTCCACATAAGGAACCTTAGATATTTTAAAATGTAAGAAGTTCACATTGAAGTTGGACATCATGGGAAAGCCCAAGACTTAAAATCCTATGATTTTAAGGTTTCAGCCTACTGCAAGTGTGCATTTTCGTGCGCTTCAGCTAGACACAGTGACAACATCTGTGCCTCTTCGGTGTGTTGGAAGCTGGAAAAATGCATTTTGTTTTCTTGTATAATTAATTTTATTCAATAACATTTGTATTTAAGAGGGGGGGGCTCTGTTTTAAATGGAGCTTTCATTTTTCACAGAAGGCATTTTAGCCAAAATGTAGATAGCAAGTAAATCAATCATTGAATTGCTTATGTTATCCCAAAAATCATGCCATATGCTGGAGCTTGCCAAGTTTATCGTTAAATAGTCTTTAAATGGTTTAAATAGCTATGGATTTGAACATATTTCTTTGTTTAGTATGGTCAGGACTAAAAATATAGAATTGTAAAAAATATTTGCAACTTTACTCTGACCACGTTCTGTATACTTGGTACTTGTCTAAAGCGAGCAAAATCCTCTCTTTTATTAAAAGAGGTATAGACTCCAGAGAGAGAGATATCATATTACCCCTGTACAAATCATTAGTAAAACCTCATCTGGAATATGCAGTTCAGTTTTGGGCACCAATTGACAAAAAAAAACATTGGGGAACTGGAGAAGTACAGAGACGGGCAACCAAACTGATACGAGGCATGGAGGAGATCAGCTATGAGGAAAGATTAGAGGAAGTGAATTCTCTCTTGAGAAGAGGAGATTAAGGGGGGATATGATCAACATGTATAAATACATCAGTGGTTCATATAGTGAACTCGGTGTAGAGCTATTCACCCTGAGGTCATCACAGAGGACAAGGGGGAACTCTTTACGTCTGGAGGAAAAGAAATATAATCTCCAAACATGGAAAGGTTTCTTCACAGTAAGAGCTGTGAAAATGTGGAATAGACTTCCTCAAGAGTTGGTTCTGGCCAGCTCAGTGGATTGCTTTAGAAAAGGCCTGGATTCTTTCTTAGATACACAGAATATAACTGGATACTAACATGTTGATCCAGGGAATATCCGATTGCAACTCAGAGGATCAGGAAGGAATGTTTTCCCCTTCAGGAGCAAATTGGATCATGCTTTACTGGGTTTTTTGCCTCCCTCTAGATCAACTGTGGGTATAAGATTATAACTTTTTTTTTTTTTTTTTAATATTGTTGAATTGGATGGACTTTTGTCTTTTTTTCAGCCAGACTAACCATGTAACTATGTAATTACTAAGTATATTGAGGTAAAATACAGTAAGCAATTAGAGAATTTTTAAAACAAAGTTAGAAACAGCATCCCCTGTATTTCCTGAAAACAGGTTACCTTTAAAAAAAAAAATCCTTCTTTTTATCAGCTCTGGATCAGAGTCAAAAAACTGTCTTCATTCACGCCAGATCACTGTGGTAACACATATGTTGTCACAGTGCATGGTAAGGTGCATTATGCATGCTGGTGTGATAAAGTGATACTCTTTCTGAATGGCATTTGAATGTACCTTCCTAATGCACCTCTGTTACAGCATTCCACAATGTGCGGTAATATGTTGCTGTGCTTAGCAGTGAGCTGCACTGGAAAAAAATGGAGCATACACAGCTTAGGTCTGTTGTGGTGAATTAGTCACACCTTTCAATTGAACACATGATTATGTTGATGTGAGTGGGCCCTAAGACCATATTAAAAAAAAAATAAGCTCATATTATACTTGCATTTCACAATACATTTTCAGGAATAAAGAAATAGTGCTAAGGAGCTAAATTAGATTAGATTAAAAACTACTGCTTAATCGAAAACTGTACGATCTGGTATCATAGGAGAAAATATTTGTGCTTGTACCTTCAAATTATTTTGGACGAAAGCTGTGTACTAATGATCAGATTATCATACGATTACTTAGAAAATGGTATTATTTGTACGGTTTTCTGATTGTGAGTACTAGGCTTAAAGTGGTTCTAAAGGTTCAAGGTTTTTTACCTTCATCCATTCTATGCATGAAGGTAAAAACCTTCAGTGTGCAGCAGCGCCCCCAGCCCCCTCGATACGTAACTGAGCCCAATCAAGATTCAGCAATGTGAATGATAACCTCGGCTGTTCCGGGTCTCTGTTTCCTCATTGGCTGAGACAGCAAGAGCGAGCCATTGGCTGTCAATCACAGCCAGTCAGCCATCGAGGGGAGAGAGGGAGCTGGGACAAGCTCATGGAGCATGAATGGACACATGGAGCAGCAGGTGCCCCCATAGCAATCTGCTTGCTGTGGGGGCACCCAACGTGCAAGAGGAGCCAGGAGAGCCTGCAGGGGACCCGAGAACAGGAGGATCCAGGCTGCTCTGTGCAAAACCACTGCACACAGCAGATAAGTATAGACATGTTTGTCATTTTACAAAATAAAAAAATGAACCTTTACAATTGCTTTAACTATATTAACTGATTGCTTAGCTAATATTTTAAAGCCAAAATCCAGCTAAACCATTCTGTATTCTTTTGGAGGAAGGAAAACAGCCTCTGTCAGATTCTTATTTTATTCTTTTGGGTGATTTTCCCTCACTTCCTTGTCAGGATAGGAAGTAATGAGAAATCTCTCCAATGGGAATGCAGACATAAACAGAATTAAAGAGTTATAATGAGATGAAATTGCTCCCACCATTTCTTGTGTGGATGTCAAAGGAGCAGAAAGTGAGGGAAAACATCCCCAATGGAGTTACATAAGACAATGGCAACTTGACAGATATTTTAATGCTTCACCGTCCTATCCTTTCTAACAAAAAAATAATATTCATTAAAAAATAAAAAATGTCTGGACTTGGGTTTTAATTATAGTAGACTTTCTATGAAAAGTTTGCCTTACAGACAGACCCCCCAAGAACAACTAGTTTGGAAAAAAACTCTAAAAAAGGCGGTGCTTACAAAAAAATACTTACCGCAAACCCAGCTTCTGACACTTCTGGAAGGTGCAGGAGACCTTGCCTCACCACAGCCTTCTGAGAAAGCTGGGTGTTCAAAATCTTTCATGAGATTTTGAGCATGTGATTTGTATGCTATCGAATTTAAAATGTTACTAGGCACAAAAACAATGCAAAAATGAGACTTAAATATTAATCAATACACTGTTCTATGTGTTATAAATGTGTTCTATAGGTAAATATATACTTTACCAACTCTGCTTTGTACTTACCTAATATATCCTACTGAAGGTCTATGTTTTAAGGCCCAGCGGTATGATGTCTTATCTTTCCAGCCCACATTTCGGGGATCTTTCCATAGTAGTCTGACTTGGTTTGCGGAGTCTCCTGTATGCCACAAGGAATTCCTAAGTTGCTCTCCAGGCCCTGTAGTGGACTTGATAGCCTGTTACAAAACAGTTGATGAAATGTATGAGTTGTATCAACTAGACTGTTATCCAAATGCTCCTAGTTTAACTGAAATCATTTAATTTGCTTGGATTCTTTTTGGTTCACCTGAAAATGTAAGACTTTTAGCTGTTTCTTGTTGACATAAGTGTGTGTAAAGGAAAATGTATTTATTATTTTTTTTATTAAAAACCTGTCTCTGTTTACTTTTGCTGTCTGTGTCCCATTGGGGAGATTTACTTTCACTTCCTGTCCTGGAACTAGAACAGGAAATGAGAGAAAGTCTCTCCAAAGTAAGGGAATTCCCATTTTAAAAAGTTACCATTTCAGACGACTTCATAATTTTGGATTTCCCCTCACTATCTGTCACGGTGACAGTGGGGTGAATCTCCCAAATGAGGACACAGATAACAAAAAAGTAAGTTTTTAGTTACTGATGTGTCATAATAAAAAAGACTAGTTCATTATAAAGAGCTGACTAGCTCTGAGTAGGTTGCTGCCATGAAGCAGTGAGGACCAGGGTAAATTAAAAAATGTAAATAAAAGCAATAAGAGTGCCAAACCAAAGATCAAAAGCCCTTGTCCTGACTGTTGTTTTATAACACCCTCTGCCTGCAGATAGGATCTGCTTAGGAGAGCTTTGGGTCCATCTTAGATTGTAAGCTCCAAGGAGCAGGGCCCTCCTAACCCTCTTATATTGAACTGTATTGTCTCCCTTTATATTGTAAAGCGCTGAGCAAACTGTTGGTGCTATATAAATCCTGTATAATAATAATTTAACATTCTGCCAATTCACCTAGCCATGATAAGGAGGGTTGTATGGCCCCTGAAAGGCATTAATTAACATTTGCCTTGCTTCTTGTGACCAGCTGAACAATAAAAAATTGGACTGCTAATGCTTTTCCATTTGGTGCTCTCGTTGGCCTATTACACTTGGATTTCTCAACTCAGGTGAATGTCCTCTTCTGGGGAATCCCTGTCTTTGTGGCGAGCTGCAGATTATAGCACAACTGGGTTCCAGTAATGATTTTGTCCATTTTGTTAACCTGTAAACGTTCCTGTCCACCACCACTACCTATTGGAATTATAAAATGGAAGGTTGGCAGGCGGAACAGCTTCACACTTAAGCTGAGTATCATTGGGGGGGGGGGGGGGGGTAGGTGTTTGAGTTTTTGTACAGGTGTTTTAAGCTCAAGCTATTTTTTTTTTATTTTTTTTTCTAGCTAATGCAAAGCTAGTCACTAGGCAAATAAGGGACTTTACACGCATTTTCCATGCATTTTTCAGGTGCTCTTATTGACGTTTAAGGCCAAAATATGACTCTACTCCAAAAAAAGCTCACGTACTTTAATGGGCAACAAGCTTCAAGGGACTATTGCATTCATATGCGAGCGAGCGCCATGTAATATGGAAATAATGTCAATTGTCGATGTGCTTCTGGTGAAGCATCAAAACACTCAGGTATGAATGGGGCCTGTAAAGAGAAAGGAGTTGTGATTTTAGTGCTTCTGCTGTGAATTTCTGAAAGTGAGTTCCTCCACAATGTCTATAGCTACAGGGGGTGAATGATGGCTTGCTTTAAAGTGCATTTCTGCTTGTGCAGTAATACTCAAAGCAGACTTTCATTCAGAGTTTACATATAACATCATTCTAATTCTCCCCCTTCCCTGTTACACATTTGCAAGTACCTTTTTCTATGGGCAATCTCTTAAGCTACATTATTCCAAGACCTTTGGCTAGTCTCCCCCCCACACCTCCGGCCTATATATTGCATGTCCCTGAAGGCTTCTGGACATTCTCCCTAGTCGTCCAATCTCTCTCTCTCTGTGAAGCAGTGGGGACTGGGTGATAAGGAACTGACAGCCCACTCCTAAGTACAAGGATGGGGGAAAAAAAGAGCTGTGAATATTTTGGTTGTGAGGAAGAAAGTGCCTGACTTCACAGTATGCTAATTATGTGTTTTTGTTTGTTTTTTTTTTTTTTTTTTTTTTTGTTTTTTTTTAACTCAGCAGCTATAGTATTTGTTCTGGAAAGCTCTATACCTCTAAAAGTATCTACTGATAATAGAGAGAATTTTGTTCTCATATTACAATTAAATACCATCTGAAACTGTCAGATAATGGAACAAACCATTTTACTTTCATTAATATGGAAAAACATTACTATGCTCACATTAAGAAGGAGGAACTATTCCAAAAGAGAAGGAAACCTTGTCCTGACTATGGTTAGGAAAACTAATCTGACCCTTGTGCCCTTTCACTCATAAGTACATATACTTTTAACAAAGGTTTGCTATACCTTTTTGTATATTTTTACATTTCATTTCTGTTTCATTAGGTTTCTGTTTATATTAGTTAACATTGTATATTTGGTTGATGTTATTCCAACTGTATTGTTTTATTATGTATTTTCATGTTTGACATTTTTACCTTTTTGTAAGGGCACAGGATTGGTAAACATTTAAAGCATTTATTGAAAAAATAGCATCACTCACATGATTGACTTTGAGCAGTGAACGGGGTGGACTGACAACTAATGGGTCCCCGGGCAATAGGGGATCATGGGGCCCCTGTGTCCTTGCCCACACTCGAACCACACCCAAAAAAGCCTATGAAAAGGTACCAGGGGCATCTCATGGTGGCCCCCTTCTGACCCTGGATCCTCGGGCAGTGCCCGAGTTCCCAAATGGTCAGTCCGCCCCTGGCAGTGAATGTGTCGTGCCTTTACCTGTTCTATACTCTTATTAGATTGATTTATTTGTACTGTTTTTATTTTATTTTTTTAAGTAATGATGCAGCTATTGTGATTTTTTTTTAGGCACTGCATTAATAAGAGACAGTTAATTTAGAAATTGTACAGTGACTGCTCACATTTTTCTCCTTTTTAAGGCAAGCAGAAAGCTAATGTACCAATATATTTTGTTGTGAAGAACCTAAGCATAAATCATTTAGAAGTATGTTTGCTTAAGAGTTCCTGTTATTTTTGTAATTGTCCTGCAGGAGGAAAAAAAATGGGAGGCCAACAGGACAGTAATGCCAGCAGGCTGTATACAGACAAACAAACAGGTACCAGATCCAAAGAGTGAGTCATAATGGCCAAATCAAAACTTAATTGTCCAGAGGAATGCAATGTATATCAAGGGAAAAAAATTTAGATATAATGTAATTTGTTTTAAGTCCTCATTCACACTGGCCCTCTTGTGTTTTAGCTTTTTCTGAATGCAAGAGAATAAGTTTAAAGGGTAACTCCACTTTTTTTTTTTTTTTTACTATAAAATAGTATATATTGACATGACATATTGGAATTTAATGTTAAAAATTATTTTTCCTTTTCAATCTTCAGCGCTGTTCTGTAAAGTGCAATACAATATGGCTACCTGAAGACATTCTGTACACCATTGGTGTACGAAATGCCTCTGGAAATGTCTTCTTGTTTGTGTGATTGGCTGACAGATTTTCCCAGAAGTCTGCACTAAGATATAAGTCAGATTTTAGACTCTGCAACAAAAGTGTCATTTTGGTGAGATGCTCTTAAAGGCTTAATCACTTTTAGGGATGCAGACTTTGCAGCTTTCCTCATTAGAGCACTTCAAGTGCATCAGCTGATCAATAATGAAAGTCGCTCCCTTTCAGAATCTTTATCCCAAAGAGAGAAAAACAACAGTTTTTTCTTTAGAGTAGAAGCAGGCAGGAGTTTGCAACAAACTTTGTTAAAATCTTTGCAATTTATATATATAACCGGGGGGGGGGGGGGGGATAGTTTTTTCACAACCAAAGTCTACCTCTTCTTTTGAAAATGTTCACATTTTCCTGCATTAAAGTGGAACTGCACTTCATCTGAGCACCACAAACTAAAAATGCTATTTAATTCAATGTTAATGTTCAAAGTGAACTCACCCAGCCATCCATGTCTCCTGATTTATTTTGCTGATAATTCATTTTGAAAAACACCCCCTAGTTATTTTTGGCAGTGGCCATCTTGTGAAAGGGCAGATAGATGATTCATGTAGTATTTACTTCCTGGAATCCATCTGCCCTTAGCTCAGGCATTGGCTGAGCTGAGAATCCTCCCTCCCCTCCTGAAGACCCCTGGGATGTATGACATACATTGTCTAGGCATGGAAACCAGGAAGTAACTGAGAAAATGTAAAAAAAAGTTTAAAACAAATAATATATACTGTACTTTCCTATCTATTTACTAATGGTAGCAGCATAAGGATTAAAAATAGTCCATGTTTGGGGGAGTAGCCAAGTTGGCAGACTGAACAGACATACCTAACAGACAGTAATCCTTCTTTTCTCCTATCCTGAACCTAGTGGCTATTGAGTAGAGGTGACCAGGCTTTGGATGCCTTATAGGTCTTCTGGGCGCCTGAAAGGGGGTAAAAAACTCCCCCCCCCCCTTTGCAGCCGTCGTGGTCAGCCACAGTTCTTCTGTGGCAGCCCCACAGGCACGCTTCTCTAATATGGCGTCTCAAACATCACGAGGAGGCTGCGGTTCCTCCGCCACCTGGCATTACCGAGGTGACGGCTGCTTTTTCTACCTGCCATGCGGTGCTGACTTCTAAGATTGAGGTGGTTCAGTTGGACATTGGGTTGCTCCACCAGCACCTTGATAAGATCTGCTCCCGGCTTACCACTGCTGAACAGTGGGTCGGTCATGTGGAGAATACGGTGGGGGAACATTCGGCCTCCCTCTGCCCCTGGCTTGACACAGGACACTGTGACTCAAGTTACCCTGTATGTTCCTGCATCTCCATAGAGAATTGAAGTTGTTCCACTTCTCTGGTTGGGGCCTGGACTTGTAACCATGTCTTCCACCTAGTTTTGGCTCCTACGGGGCACATTTTTGGGATCTAAGCATCTCCCGGTGTTCTGAGTGAAGCGGGTTGGGGGCCTGACCGTTGCCAAGCTTGTTTGGACTTGTGTGGGCTTTATCATGTGCTTTTTACAATGTTTACTTTGTTTTAGTTCATTTAATGGCATGTACACTCTATTG